TCCAGATGAAAGAGAGATGCAAAGATGGAGAAAGTATCATCTGTTGAATTTAACGCTTCCATGTTGAAAGCCAACTTAATCCACATTAAATTCTCCCCTGCTAGAAAAGAGTGTTTTCAATGCTCTGCTAATGCAGCTGTAGAGCAAACATGATAAACCACTTAACTTTCTACCAAAAATATGAAGAGGGGATCCAACTGTGATTTCAGGTGATCTCTTTAAACAAAAAAAGAGAGAGTGAAAAGGAAAAGTTTATCGCATTCAGAATATTAAATACAAATGTAAAAGATGCACAGAAATTTCAAGCTTGGGCTGAATCTATGGAATACTATGATCTTCAGATATAATTAGGATATGGGCATTCTGTAACTTTTTTTCTCTGCCTCACTCCGAAACCCCAAAGAAACTAACAATCCAGCTGAAGGACTTGCAACACATTTGTCTCCTCTTGTAACCTTCCCTGGCAGTGTTATTAACAAGCCTTCAATCATCAAGACACCGAATTGGCAGGAAAAGATCATAATCGGAAGCAGAAGTTGAGCAAACAAACAGTTTGACCTCCCTCTGTGCTTCAGAAGACTCCTGCCAATGGAAAGAGAAACTACAATTTGAGATGGCACCTCTAGGCCTCTTCAGTCTGAGTGTATTTCCCCGTTGAAAGCCTGTGAATGCCCAGCACACAAGGGGATTCCAATCTGACAAGTTCATTGTTTGTTTTCTGCCTCTAATAAATGGTGAATAATAATAACAGCTGTTTTGCTTAAGATTGGTGGCTGAGCATACCAATCATGCTGCATTGTGAAAGAAAAAAAACAATGCCATGACTTTTTGTGCTATAGGCGATGCTTGTTAACCACTAACTAAAGCGCATGACAGTTATACAATATGGCACATAACTTTCTAATTCAGTTTTACCTATGCCAGATGGATTTATAGCTCCCAATAGCCCCTGGCCAATGCTGAAACATGCTGGAAGTAGTAATTCACAACAATCCAGGTAAAGCAAGCTCCCTCCCTCTCCAAGTTCAACACTGACTAGTGGGATTTTTTTTTTAATATTTTAGATAGTGTCTTAGATTACTGGAAATTCTAAGGATTGAATCAAGGATATTCTACATGCATTGCAAGTGTATTTTGCAAGTGAGCTATAGCATATTTTGATTTTGGGGGGCAGGAAAAAAAGTTGTGGCAGTATATTGAATTCTTAGAACCCCGAAATATCAACAGCCACTTCATAAAAAGATAACCTTTAAAAAATAATTAAACCAATCAATCAAGGAGTTGGAACATCTAGTTTATGGGGGGAAATCTACATTTAGGAATGCTTAGTCTGACTAAAATCCAGTGAGGAGAATATCATAAAGATATCTACAATTATCTATGCTGTGGGAAAAGTAGATATGTCCATCTCTCAGAGTGTTATAACTGGTAGTCCTAACTGAAGAATGAGTGATTCAGGACTGTAATTACATACTTCCTCAGACCTTGCATTTTTAAACTGTACAGTCTGTTGCTAGCACAAGATTAATGATGGCCACTAATTTGGAAAGTGGTCAGGTTCATGGACAATTCAGCCAGCAGTAGCCATCATGATAGCTATAGATCATTTCCAATATCTGAGGCAGCAAGACTCATCCATCAATGAAACAAATGGATAGGAGGAAGAGCTGGGGGAAATCCTTAGGAGAGTCCCAGCAATTCATGAAAAATAACTAAATCAATGTTTTTCAAACTTGGCAGCTTTAAGATGTAAGTAGTATGCTGGCTGGGGAATTCTGGGAGCTGAAGTCCACATATTTTAAAGTTGCCAAGTTTGAAAACATTCAGCTAAATGAATCAAAAGCCATAGCTCTGAGACAACTTTCTGTCTTTTATTCAAATTTCTATCAGCAAGTTGCTTTATTTGTTTGTTTTGCTCCCATAAGATATTTAGGCAAGAGTTCTCCTATTGTTCACTTTAAAAAAAACTTTTTAAAAAGCATGTGTTCACTGTTCATTGCTACAGATATAGCAATATTTTCCAATTTAAACCTCATTGAGTCAGCTCCCACAAACTTCTGCCAATATGGCAAAAAGCAGACTGTAAAATCCACCTCAGTACAAGCATATACTCCCCAAAACAAGAAACTCCATTCCAATGCCATCCCATAATTATACTTAGGCTCTTCAGTTGAGGTTTTTGCCACTAAAATGGAATATATACTGCTCACAAAAATAAAGGGAACGCAAACCCCTTCAGTTCCATGGTTAAATGTTCCCTTTATTTTTGTGAGCAGTATATATACATTTACTGGTAGCTCATGATTTGTGGTAGAGAGAGGGGTTTTTTTTCACTTCCAGTAATAATTACAATGATCAAAATTTCCCCTTCCCCTAAACAAAATCTAATAGATGTAGTATCTTGAATTGTTTGACTGAATTTAGGGCATTCTCTCAATTCCCAATTCTTCTTATTGATATATGGAGCTGCTTTTTCTACCTGGGTCTTCAGAGTTCTATTTAAACTAGTAAACCATGCAAGCTTGAAATCTGTTCACTCCAATCTGAAGCATTCCTTTATTGGAAAACTCAGTTTTCCATTATGGCTATAGCACAAAGGAGCCCCAGTTAGGAATTAGGGAAATGCTTATTGCAAACTGGGACCTGATTGTTTTTACTTTGTTCATCTCACTTGGGCTTTTAGATCACATGGGTGATCCGTCTGCACCACCCCAACACAAAGGTCATCTCCCCTCAGCTCTTTGTACAGAATAGGTGATTGACTCAGCAGCACTTATAATCAATCACGGGTAGGATATTATAGCAATGCTGTTTTGCTACCATCTCATGTTGTTTTTAGCCATTTCGGCACTTCAGACTTCTGAATAAATCTGTAGTTCAAAGCCATTGGCTAACGCATTCCTCCATAGCCAAGAAACAAAGCACTAGATTTAAGCTGGGCAAACTAAGGGCAAGCGTGGTATCAATACTTGAGATCTCTAGCAGACTTTTGAGAATCAACTGGCTCTAACACAATATTTCCCTGAGTGCATTCACTAACTCTCTGAAATGAATTCATGGTGACCTATTTACTCCCTACCCCTGGAGAAACTCTGTGAAGATAAAAACAACACTGAAAGGACACCATGGACAAAAAGGGGAAAATGAAGGCAGAACATTGGGACCACTTTAGACAATTTGATGTTCTCCAGACATTTTGGTTGAAGCTTCAACAGTCCTTGCCATTGGACATGCTGTCTGGAACTGATGGGAGTAAATATTCAATATAGCTGAAGAACATCAGATGCCTTCACTGTTCTTTAATCCACATCTCACTAAGTTGTTTTAGCAACAAGGAATTTCCCCCCATTTCTGTATAATATTTCATCAGTCACATCATTTTGTCAGCAAAATTTTGCAGGGGTAGGAAAAATGTCTTTCAACCCTCAATCGACAGTGGTAATAATATTATTAAACACCTGGTCAATGTTTATTCATTATTCATCTGCAGGGAAAATGGACATGTATGCCAAGACTAAAAGCAGGAATGACAGCTTGTGGATCCTTCACCATTTTTATCAAGATGTGGTATGCACAGGTGTATGCTTGTATACACACATAAACCACCCCAACTAATCTGAACAGGAAAAATGACTTCCAATTTGAAATAGATTACTCCCCATAGAGTTTAAAACTTTAAATAAACATTAATTCCTGGCACAGGGGAAGGTATTCACTAAGTTAATTAACACATTGTGTGGGTTTCCACAAAAACTCTCACTCCAACCTACTTCAGAGAATGATGAGAATAGGGCCCATTTCTTTTCCTTAATAAAAAATGATGAGGATTTGCTGTGCGGTAATTGAAGTGTATTGTTTAACATGACACTAAAGCAGGGATCTCCAAAGTTGGTAACTTTAAGACTTCAACTCCCGGAATTCCCCAGCCAGCCATGTCATGAAAGAATGCTGGCTGGGGAATTCTGGGAATTAAAGTCCACAAGTCTAAAAAGTTGCCAAATTTGGAGACCCATGCAGTAAAGGAAGACTGTAGGGATGTGAGCAATTCTGGCTCCCTCCCTAAAAGGTGCCATTCCAGGAAAAGACACAAATGCTTTCAAGAGTTGCAAGTAGGTTCTCCTTTCATGCTTCTGGAGCACCTTCTTGGAAAGGAAATCACTGTGTGGTTCTAAAAAGCTATCTAATCTAAAAGAAGATGTCAACATTAAGGGGAAAGAAGGAACAGTGCAAGTCTTTGGAAATGAAAGGGTCAGAAAGTGGTTTGCAAAACTGTATTCCTGTGGGATCCCATCCCCTGAACTGTATTCTTGGTGGGATCCCAGCTGGTCCAGAATTCCCAGTCATCCACTCAAAAAGCAGCTGCTTGTGAATTTTGGAGCGTGTCTCCAGTAGCTGACAATGTCCGCAGAGAACCTAAATCTCAACAGCCTGACCTCTGTGAACGGTGTGCCTTCAGAATATACTTCAAAACCACAGTGTGGGACGGGTGTGTGTGCATGTATATGTGTAGAAACTGTGTTTAGGTGTGTGCATCACAGAGTTGCGACTGCTTCGCCAAAGATCAGAAGCCGGAAAACTACTAGAAAGACACCTTTCCTCGGCTAACCTCCAGGAAGGCGAAAAGACAAGCCTTCCGGGAGAGTGCTGGAGAAGAGATTCCAAGAGAACGTCCCCCCTTTCTTGTTCTCTCGTTGCTTTAAAGTGCCGGATCGGTGGAAATTTTACCCAAACCTCGGAAGCCGTAGGAGTGCGAGAGGCAGCAAAACCCCATCACTCAGCTCTGAGGCTGTAGCGCCTCCAAGCCAGAAGCGAGGAATCCAATCTCCCTGCAGGAAATCTGCAAAGAGGGCGCGGGGCCCTGCAGGCCTAACCCGAAGGCCTGCTGGGTTTTCCGAAGGCTGCGAGGGCGTGGTGCGCCTGCTCCGCGGGAACCGCGCCCCGCAGGGCCGAGGCCGAGGCCGGAGCCGAGTGAAGGCGAGGCTCCCACGTGGCCGCCGCCGTTACCTGCAACCGCAACTCTCCACCACCATGTCCTCGTACTGTTTGTAAACCACGTTGTTGCCGGAGTCGATGTACAGGATGCTGATGGGGGTGAGTTTGGAAGGCACGCAGCAGCTGGGCGGGGTGGAGTCGGGGGCCATGGAGTTCATGAGCGTCTGAATGATGGCGTGGTTGGTCGGCTCCAAGTGGGAGCGCAGCGGGAAGTCGCACACGCCGTCGCAGTGGTACGCCTCGTAATCCAGGGGCGCGATTATCCAGTCGTCCCAGCCCAGCTCCTTGAAGTTGACGTGCAGCGCTTTGCGGCTGCAGCGGCTCCTGAGTTTTTTGCTCTGGCTTCGCCCGCCCGCCGCCGCCGCCCGGCCCGCCAGCGCCGTCCGCCGCCTCCGCCGTTTCTGTTGGGCCAGAGCGCCTGGGCTTAACTCGTGGGACCCCGGCGGGAGCTCGGACCCGCCGCTCAGAGTCCGGATCTTCTCGCGGATCTCCTTGAACAGGTTGTCTTTCCGCTTGGTGCGAGAAAACACCACCAGGAGGGCCCTCTCGTGGGGATGCGAGGGCTGCTCCCGGCCGAAGCCCAGCTGCCGGGGGGACAGGAGCTTCCCGGTCTGGGCCGAGACGACCCTTAGCCAAAAGCAGAGCACGGACGGGCGCTGGGGACGGCCGCCTGGTTCTGCCCAGGGCCTCAAGGCTGCCCAGGCGTCGAAGACTTCCCATTGGTGCGGAGCTGCGTCGCCGGAGCCCAGCAGATCTCCCGCTCTGGAGTCCCAAAGGCCCGGCTCCCGGCCTCCTGCATGATCGGGGCAAGCGGAGACTAGCAGGCGGTGGAGCATCCCTTCTGGGGACGAAGCCAAGCTCCTGTTTCCGGCGGCTTTTCGCAGGATCCTCAGTTCAGCCCCTACGATTTCGTCCGCCTCAGCCAAGGTAGAGATGTCGAAGAGGTATCGCTGCCCGGCCTCCCACGAAGAAGAGTCGTCTGGAAGAGAAGAGAAGTGGATGGGTGGAAATCGCCTTGTTGTGCCCTAAGAGCAGGGCGGCTCCGTCCCCCTGGCTCTGTACCAAAAGGGATTCCCTTCCTGCCTGCCCTGTCTACCAAGGCTTTAAGTGCCAGCTGGGGAATCCACTTTCCCCCCCTCCCTGCTTTATCTCCACCGGTTTTTTTTTCTGACCAATTGGACACAGTTGCTGTTTGGACAAGCTTTCAGGGCCTCGAATTCTGGTTTTTCCCTATAAGGACCCTCTTCACCCCCAGAAGTTGAACTTGTTACTTATCTACAAAGATACTCAGACCACACACTCAGTGCCTGTTGTAAAATAAGTTGAATCTACTGTTCTCCCAAAAAGCCTTGTGACATTGCATCAAAGTTGTGCTTTTCAGCATGTGCAGAATGTCTCAACACAACATGGGAAAAGGAGTTCAAAAATGGCTTTAAAAAATATGTACAGGGAGGAGGATAATTTGGGGGGGGGGAGATGAAATCTGTCTAATTTTCAAAAGTTCAGTTGGAGAGGATCTGTCCATAAAAAATGACCCACCTAAAACTTTCCACCCACGAGAGGTCAAGATACACTGAAGGAACTTTACAGCAAGCATCTGCATTTATTTCCCAGGCCAAGCGGGGAATGGGCTCTTGGGGGGGGGAGTGAAATGGGCCCGTGTTTTTCTTCCCACACTACCCACCCTCTTCCTTGCTATGAGCCAAGTTAAACATTTCCCCAGTCTGTCAAGGATCATTTTATTTGTTCACATGTGTGCCTACTTGCACATTTTCTTCATTTAAATGCTCCAGGAAAGAAGGTGGAGGAAGAGAATAGTGTTGAGTGAGTTAAACCCTTATGGGGATGACCCATCTGAATCCCCTTCCCATCTCAGCTCGTTTTGTGTTAGGAACCAGACATGAACTTTTCCTGGGATGAATTAAAGTAACCAGATGTGACAATAAATATACACCATAACATTAAAATAAATAAAGGGAAGGAAGAGGCAAAATAAACGAAAGAATGAATAAAAGATTCTCATATGGGCTTTCTCAGCAGTACTGTAGGATGTGGTTCCCTCAGCCACCTCCCCAATGCAGTGAAGCAAGGGAGTTTCTGGTCTTCCAAATGTTCTCAGAGGGCTCACTTGAAATATCCTAATTAGAGCTGCTGGGAATTGTAGTTCAGCAGTACCTGGAGGTATTACTTGACCTTAGTTTACCTCTGAAGCTAAGTAGGGTCAGGTTTGATTAGTATTTGTAGGAGAGGCCATCAGGAAATGAGGGGGGGGTTGATTCTGGAAGGAGATAATGGCACATTCCTTCAACATAGCCATAGTTACATAGGCCCATGAAGCCGCTGGATTTCAAAGAGACTGGATCTTTCCTAGCTGGAGGATGGGCCCCGCAGCACCCATTAATTGTGGCACTTGTTAATGAATTAAAAGATGGCCATGCTAGCCAGTTGCAGTGGCTAACTAACTGGGTGCTTCTGGGAAGTCCCTTATCATTTCTTTTTCTTTCTGCCCAACAAGTACAATCAAATCAATTTATGCCACCCCGAACAGGGAAGCCAGCCTAGAACCATAGAAAGCCTTGAATGTCTTGAGTGCAGATCAGAACCTGAATTTTCCTTCCCCAATCCGTGGGTCTACCGGTGCATTGGGGAATGGATGATTCTGGGCCTGCTGGCTGGGAATTCTGGGAACGGTGCTCCCCCGTGCTTCAGGGAGTAGTAGCCAACTTGGGATAGCGGCTTTGAACTGATTTGAAACGTGTGTCTGGTCTTTGCATCCTCCATTGAACTCGATGCTTGGCGAAGAATTGCGAAAGGAGGCTTTCATCCTCGGCTCTTCGGAAGCCTCGTGTCCCCGCAGCAGTGGGGGAGAAAACGGGGGAAGGCAGCAAAGAACGAGCCGGAGCTCTTTAGATCAGTACAGACCATTATTCCGCTCGCCCAGCGCTCCCAGAATAGCGTCCCCTGCCTTCTCCGCACCTGCGGCCAAGCTAGGCGCGCGGTCCGGAGAAGCCAGCAGACGGCTTGTCTTAACTTCTGCCGGCCAGATTTGCGATCTCTATCACCGCCCAGCCGCCCTTGGGGCGGTGTAAAGTCTGCCCCGTTCCTGTTCAAGCGGCAGTTCAGACGCTGAGCTACCGTAGCGAGGATCCTAGGCCAGGGGTAGTCAACCTTGGCGCTTTTATGACTCGTGGACTTCAATTCCCAGAATTCCTGAGCCAGCTTAGCTGGCTCAGGAATTCTGGGAGTTGAAGTCCACGAGTCATAAAAGCGCCAAGGTTGACTACCCCTGGCCTAGGCCGTAGTCTTCAGTGACCGCGGCCTTAGGAAGCCTCGGCGGCGTCTCAAAGCCTCTCCGGGACTCCCGAAATCTCGGCTTCTACTTTTCTGCAGCATCGGGACCAAAGCTCAAATCAAACCTGCCCTGATATTCTTCCCCCGCGGTTCGATCCGCTGAAGCTTCCTTCGGTGTGCCTCTCTAAGACAACCCCGACTTTCTTTCCGAGTTGCTCGCCGTCCGTCCAAACTCGCAGTCGTCTGCGGCCCTTTGTGGCTCGGAGAGCGGAAAATAAATTGCTGCTTGCCGCCCAAGGTGGAAAAAGTTTAGCGCTCAGATCTGCCGCCTGTGGCCTGTTGCAGGAGCACAAACCCCATTGCCCATCCTGGTGGAGCTCAATGGGAGTTGGAATCCTCCAACTGCTCCCTAATAATATATAAACAGCCAACTGACAACAGGAGGAGCTTTATCTTTTTATATGTATTTTAGAAAGTGTTGCTTTTTTTGTTTTGGGATTGGGGTTGTTTTTTTCTTCAGAAGGGGCCTGCCACGGCCCGCCAGCCTGCGAACTCTAAACATAACGCGATTCCCTCCCCTTTCTATTGTTTTCTTCGAGAAGAAGGAGCAACGATAAATGTCCGACTCATTGAGTTAAATGAGGCTTCTTCCGAAATCGGCGAACAGACAAAATTCCACGTGGTTAGAAATAATAAAAAAAAATAGGACAAAGCATAAAATAAGTAATACCCCTCGCACTGCTGCTGTTTCTGTTACAAGCATAGAGATATCAGTGTAATTTCGTTGATTAAAGGAGCGTCCTCTCCCGTGTAAGATTAGAAGTGTCATAGCGACGTTTCGATGAAATCACATTCATCATCATCAGGCTTGTGCTTTTAGCTGAGAAGCACAAAGCTAAAAGCACAAGCCTGATGATGATGAATGTGATTTCATCGAAACGTCGCTATGACACTTCTAATCTTACACGGGAGAGAGAGAGAGAACAATTATATATATAGATATAGTGGTCTATATATATATAGACATTAACAATTCTGTGCAATTAACAAAAAAGAAACCAGCAAAAGATCATCGCCGGTCGAAAGAGTAATTCAACCAGCTCAAACTCCACAACCTCCCTATCATAGATTCTCTAGTCACGCCTCCTCCGAAAAACCCACAAATATATCCTCGGCTGCTGCTTCGCACATCTGAGTCGTAATCTAGCGTCCTTGCCTCGCCGACATACTGGCACGTGAACTTTATCAGTAGATACCTGTGCGCCTTAACCGTAAGATTCACAGGACCTGCGTTTGTAAATGCAAATAGAAACAAAGCTGAAAATTCTTTTTGGCAGAGGTTCCAATCCACGCGTACGCACGATATATTTCTCTGAGGATGGTCGGTTACAATACACTTAATCGAGCCGCATTTGGAAGATGCAGACCGGGGACTTGTTCCGATTAAGGGGACAAAAAGTTGCACTGCAGCCCCGCGTTCCGGTACAAAGAGTCTTTCCCCAACCCTATTCATTAGGAAACAGCCTGTATGATGCAGTGGTTAAGGCATTGGGCTAGAACCGGAAGATTGTTGAGTTCTAGTCCCATCTTAGGCACGAAGCCAATTGGGTGACCTTGGGCTACCTCTCTCCCTCCGTCCTAGGAAGGAGGCAATGGCAAACCACGCCTGGTAAACCTAGCCAAGAAAACTGCAAGGACTTGTCCAAGGCAGTTTTTGAGAACCGGACCTGACTGAAGGCAAGAAAAACAATATTAGGACATTTGTGGGCGCAGATCCCGCGTGCCTGAGACGGCATTGTGGAAGGCTGACGTTTCAAGCAGGCATCGTGTCCCGCGTCCCTAAGGAGATCTCACAACTCCGCTCTCCTTTCTTGAGGTCTTTCACTTCGTCTCTAATGGGGGGAAACCCTTGCTCCCATAACACAAACCAAACAAATCTAGGAGACAGTCACTCTAGTGTAAACCTGTCTTTGGATCGCTTGTAGCTTTAAAAGTGCATTTCTCCCTCCCAGCAGCACATCTTTACAAGACAGTGCGCTCTCTAGCCAGTTACTCCGATGATTTTGGTTCAATTAGAATAGCGGGCGACTAAGTTTCATCGGTAGGGTTGATGGGCTGGCCGTCTCTCCCTTCCTTCCCTCCTTATCCTTTTCTATTGTTTTCACGCGGTGTTTCATCCAACACAGATCAGTTGGGAAGGCATTCCCCGCCGAACGCTGAAACTACAAGAAANGAAGAAGAAGAAGAAGAAGAAGAAGAAGAAGAAGAAGAAGAAGAAGAAGAAGAAGAAGAAGAAGAAGAAGAAGAAGAAGAAGAAGAAGAAGAAGAAGAAGAAGAAGAAGAAGAAGAAGAAGAAGAAGAAGAAGAAGAAGAAGAAGAAGAAGAAGTAGTAGTAGTAGTAGTAGTAGTAGTAGTAGTAGTAGTAGTAGTTGCGTAGCCCTTCAGGAGGGGAAATTCCGAACGGGCAATCTTAACTGTCCCCCTCCCCTCCCGAGCTGCCTTCATTTGGGGCTGCCGGTTGGATTGCAGTTCCGGCTAATTATAGAGACCAGCCAATCGCGGATCGGCGCTCCGAGACGCTCTTGCGATTGGCTCGCCGTTTCGAGTCAAGGCGACAAGCCCCCCCCCCGGTTGGCAGCGGTGGCGGAGCCAGATTCCCGCCGTCGGCAGGGAAGGCCGATCAAGCGGCGAGGTAGCCGCGTCCGCCCTTTCTTAACCATTCCTGCCCGCCTCCCTTCTTCCCACGAAGGGCTCCGGCGGAGTTTAAGCGATCCAAAGGAGCTCAATCGCAAAAGTCCCTCCTCCCTCGCCCGACAGGGGTCCCAGCAGGGCCTCGACAGCGAGGGAAGGGACTCTGTTGTCTTGACTCGGCGGGGTGGAGATGTCCCCCTTGCCGTCGAGGCAGGCCAAGCCAGTCCGGGAAGAAAGAAAGAAAAGCCGCGCAGAAGCCGTCTGGGATTACCCTGGGGCAGGGGTAGGCAACCTTGGCTCTTTTATGACTCGTGGACTTCAACTCCCAGAATTCCTGAGCCAGCCATGCTGAGGGGAAAGGGAGAGGTTTCCAAACTGAGCCAAGCTGGCTCAGGAATTCTGGGAGTTGAAGTCCACGAGTCATAAAAGAGCCAAGGTTGCCTACCCCTGCGGCCTGGGGGAAACCGCTAGAACAGGAGACGGAGGACAGCCTCGGAAGTCCTGCTCGGGCGCCGATCGAATAAGCCACAGACGTGGCGGTCCGTGGGCTTTGAAAGGAGTTTCCTAAATCTGGCCGCCCCAGCCTTCGCTTCTCCCCACCCGCCGTGGCCTTCCACCTGTTAATAGCCACGCCACCCCGGGCGTGCGCCATTCATCGCTCCAGCCAGTCAGCCTCTCGCCACTCGAGGAATCAGGTGGCCTCGTTGCAGCCGCCCGCCTACCGGGCAAGAAGGGAAGGGAGGCTGGGAGTCGCCCTCGCCTGCCCCACTTTGTATCTGATCAGAACACTCTCACTTCCCCCAAAAGGTTACAGTGAAAACCCCATTTGCCCCTGAATCAATAAATCCCAATTTATTTTATTTATTTATTTATTTAATTGAATTTTTACCCCGCCCTTCTCCTTGCGGACTCAGGGCGGCTGACAGCCTGATAAAAACAATACAAAAAATACCCCAATACTATCCTTTTAACACACACACACCCCTCAGCTTTGCTTTTCGTCCCCCCCCCCCCCAGGGCTTCCTGACTTTCTCCGGACAATTTTCCTAAAGAGCAAACGATTTCCCAGTGGTGAAACCAGGAATTCGGTCACCTGAGCTCACCTTTGCTTCTGAGGTGATGCTATTACCACATTCGGGCACCTCGCAGATACTCAAACCCTCAGATTCTTCAAAAGGGATCTGCAGGCTTGATTCGACTCTGGGCCCCCGGATAGAAACTCCTTATAGGGGAACCCTTTTGTTTGAGTTGTTTGGTGATTAGAAGCTGAGAACAAATAATATTAATGCTGGAATCCTTAGAGCTCTCGGGAGCTTACTTTTCTTGCGGACGTTTCGTTACCAAACTAGGTAACAACATCAGTGCTATTGGTTTATTCATCCTCTGCGACCCCCACCGCATTACATATTCCCCTTTTTCGGGTTACAACAAATGCAGCCATTCGGGCTCAGGCCCAGTCTGTCTGCAGTAATTTTCTCCTTGGGTTATTAATGATTACATGAACTTTGCTTCAAGATCATTTATGATATGAAAACTGAAAGCCGTGAAATCAATTTTCGGTCCCAAAGTCTAGATCACAAAAACAGTCATCCTGCAAAATCATTAAATCTTAAGACTCTAAAGGGATGACACGGTTAGTTTAGGTTAGATTCGGAAGGATCCTATCGATCGCCTTCTGTATTAGACCCGATTAATTGGGGAGTAATTTGAGTTGTACGGAAGGTCAGTTTTCAGATAACTTCTGTCTGGGCTTTAGTATCGCGGGGTCGATTCCTTGTAGTTAGATTCGTTTGGATGATTCCGTCGTTATTAGAACTTTTTTTTTTTTTAAAGGCAAAACCAAACATTTCCACCCCTAGCAAAGAATTGGGGAGAAAACAGCGAAAGGGAATGGACAAGGCTAATTAGTTCCCAACCGGACGACGGGGCTTTCCTTCCCCCCCCCCATTCCCCAAATCCGTCGCCCACATTTACAACAAAATCCCGACACTGAAGCAGAGTTAAACGAAAACGGCTTGCAAGCCTATCGACACCCCACCCCACCCCACCCCACCCCACCCATACATCAAACCACCCAGGTTAGGCAGAAAGAGCACTTATAAATATGGGTGGGGGGGGGGTTATATCCCTTCTCCATCAAGGTACCCCCTCCGACCGAACCAATCCAACTCGCCCTCCCGGAGCCTCGGGGAGGAGGGGGAGGAGGAGGAGAAGGGGAGAGACTCCTGCGCAACACGTCGGGATGCGGCGCATTCCTGGGTCAGCTCCGTGCGCAAACCGGCCTGTTCGGCAAGAGCGCGGCTAGCAGCGGGGTTTTTTTGGGGGGGAGGGGGGCACCCGCGGAGGGCTTTCCGGGCGGCTGGTTCGCTCACCTCGTTGCTGTGCCCACGCCTGGTCTGCGAAGCCCGTGACGGTGTTGGGTCGATTCCCCGGGGCATCGCTGATCTCCCCCTTCGGCCGGGGGGGACCCTGACCCCCGGCTAGGCGGCGGTAAAGCGCGACCATGTAGTCATGCGGCACCACCGTGCCGTTACCGAACATGCCGCCGACCCCGTTCAGTCGCTCGCCGGGCTTTGACTTCCAGAGGCCAGGGGCGGCCGCCGCTGCCTCCGCGTCACTGGCCGCTGCCAGGGGCCGAACCACCGCGGCGTCCAGCTGCCCGTAGCGGAGGCGGCAGGCGCTCCAGAGGCAGCAGAGGCAAAGCGCCGCGGCCGCCCTCAGCTCCATGCTCTCGCCGTCCTCCTCCTCCTCCTCCTCCTCCGGCTGGCGGCAGCCCGGGCTCCGGGCGGCAGGCGCAGGGGCTTTGAGGGCTCCTCGGACTCCCCGGCCGCTTTTGAACATTGTGTTAACTCGACGCCGAACCAACCAGGACAACTGCAGCGGTGGCAGCGGCTGGCTGGACCTTCGCAGCGACCCCTGCCGGCCGGTCGCCGCCACCGCCGCCGCTTGGCAAAGGCGGCGGGGAAAACGGGAGGCGGGCGAAGTGGAGTCATGAAAGAATTAAAAAAAAAAAAAAAGCGGTTGGGGGGGGGAGAGAATGCAGCCCCCCCCAATACAAACAGCCCTCGCTGAGTCACATGTTTGTTTTTACAAACGCTTCTTCTTTCCTTTCCTTCCCTCCCTCCCTCTCTTCCCCTTTTCCTGTTTCTTCCCCTCCCGATGTTTTCTTTCTTTTTTTTTCTTTTTGAACTGAATCCGTCGGAAATAACACCAGCCGGAGAGAGACCTGGACGGGGCTCCCAGCAGCTCGACGCTTTGCCAAGGGGGACAGAGAGCTGGATGCCAGCACCCCGTCGCCTTTCGGCTGCAGCAAAACCACCTGGGGTGGAGATGGTGGCGGGGGGGGGGAAGGAAGAGACCGGCTGTCCGCGTGGATTTTCACCTCGAGTTGCAAAGCCGAGCTGCGGGGGGGAAGAGCAATTGGGTTCATCCGTCAGGAAGTGGCACTTGTTTGATCCACCTCTCCGAAATACAGGACAGAAGTTGCGCTTTCTTCGATTTCCAATTTTCATCTTTCCTGCTTTCCGATAGGCAGCGTGTTTCAATCCTGCCGCTCCCTCGACAAAAACGAGAGTTTTAAGAAGCGAGGAGGAAAAAAATCCGTATATTACTACAGTAGTCCCAGCAACAGATGGAGCAGTAGTGATGTTGATGATCGAACTTAGCCAGAGTAGCTGGCTGCAATTAAGATATTACTATGCTGTTTCGACTAGCTTTCGGCGCATAGTCTCTAGAGACTCTAGTAGTTCAGTGAGTCCCATTGAACTAAATGGAATTTCATTTTGAGCGACCAAGCTGAGAACCGGGCTACAATTCCAAACTCGTTTTCAAAATGGCACCTTTGTTACTCCCACTACTGGTAATAGGGCCGTTTGCGGTGTTAAAGCTATTGCCAGACTTTTGGATAGTAAACATTAGTAAATACGTATAAGATACATGGTGTAAATGTACTACATAATAATATATGCGAATGTTTATACGTGTATATTGATTCCCAATAAATCCCTAAGCGGGCAGGCTAATTAATCAGCTGGCTAGAGACAAGAGGTTGTCTCTAACGCCAAGATCCCATTTTAAGGTGCTGTCAAATGCTACGTAATTAGGAGTCAACCCCACAATGGAATGGAGGTATCCAGTCTTCGACGGCCTGGAGATTAACTGAAGAACTGTAAAATCCATTCATTTTGATGGACTTTGCTGAATAATGTCTTTGCTGTCGGCGTTTCCCAGGAAAGTAAGTCCCATTCGACGGAAACGTCTCCAAGCTCCACAAACCCCTGCCTCTCCCGCCCCCCATATTACACTAGTTTTTCCCAGATTATTCGGAAAAAAGGGTCTTAATTTATATCTGGCTTCCCGTTTCCAATGCGGTTTAGTCGAGTTTATTTGGAAATAAACCTCGTTGAATGCATTGGTCCTTACTCCTAATTGTGACCTCCGTTTGGGTGTTCATTGGTCCTTACTCCGCTTACGATAACTGCAATTTGCGAAATCTCAGGGAATCTTCGTAGCAGAGGCAGGTTACTCTGCGATAACCAAAACTTAGAAAACGGTAATTGTGTAAAAAGTGTAAGATTTATGGCTCACTTCACAAGATGATATTTTAAAAAGGAAATATATGGCGACTTTAACAAGGAAAATCGGTACATGTATGGCTTGCTCGGAAACACTATAGGAAACAAACCCAGCCTCTTTTCCGTCCCATTCTTCCCTAAGGCTTCTTTCTAGTTACCAGTACTTTATTAACCCTTTCCCTTTTCTTGAGGACTTTATTGGTCAAAATTCAAACATTTTTCTGGATCCCGATTCATATCACAAACCCACTTCAAGGCTAGTGAATTCAGTTCTTGCAGTATCGGGTAGGACAGCCGTCTTTTCTCCAGAAATAATATAATCGCACGCAAGCATTCTAGATTGGCGAATATTTATTGGATGGAGGCCCAGATAAGCCTTTTAATAGGGTGTATTCCAGACCAAAGAGCAGTAGAGAATTTACGGAAGGGGTGGGTAACTCGGAAGGTGTTTGAAGTGACTTTCATTCTGGTCTTTCACCATTTATTTTATGGTAGAGGTGGATTTTTCTGTAGTTGGAGGTCTGTGTTCACTTTTTTTGTGTCTTCTTATGCTTCTCCCAACTTCTGGAATTGCTTAAGAATTTCCACCTCTGCATTTCATTTCACTTTTTTCTCAGACAAACCTTGGGAAATGCCCAAATGAGGCATAGGGAATGGATCAACAAAGTAGCCTCAAGGAAGCCATATTGTGAATCCCAAAATGACAGAAATGGGCAATAATGGCAGGTACAATTCATTCATGCTGAATTGTGGATATTTTCCTTGTGGCTGTTTATATGCTGAGGGGAAACAGCAAAGGGAAAGGAAAAAGAAACTCTCTGCTATTCTGTATTGAGTGGCAAACCTGTAAATCTATCAAGGGGGCGCCATTTCTATCAATGGGGAATCCCATCAAATCCACCAATGGAGAACCAAGAGAGGGGCAAGAGATATGATTTTATTTTAGCCAAGGTTATGGTGGGATTGTTTTGGCTAAGAGAAGAACAGGTGAATAGTGCTTTAAATCATTAGTGGAAATGGTCACAAAGATAACTCCCTGAGTTCAGAGAACTTCCACATTCTCCATCAAAAGTCTTTTGACAAGTGCTGGTCTGCCTGCTTCCCTTCTCCAATCTGGTGTGCAATTCTAATTAATTCCAAATTAATTATGTTGACTTCCAAGGAAGGATACAACAAAAGCTTTGCAGTGCAGTTCTATGTGGATCTACTCAGAAAAAAAAAACTCCCACTGAGTTCAAATGGATTATTTCCTATTCACCTCCAAGAAGTGCAGCATTGCAGCATTGGACTTCAGCCATACAAATCAACAGAAACCATAATTTATTTATAATAGCCCGGTTCGTACAAATTATCAGATGGCGAAAAAAATACTCTCTTTACAGATTACTGAGCTATGTGAGCTCACAGTCAGAGAGAGAAGAAATCCAACCCTTGATATTTCAGTGTCCAAGATTCAATATCCAGTTTGGCGAGTCTTCAGATTAGACAAAGTCTTTGAGCCCAAGTAGGTTCTGCATCAATTGACTGCATCAATCCAGTCCTACCCCGCTGTGGATCATAAACCAGGTTCATGCTAAGCATGCTATGTGAATACATCGCATTGCGGTTCAGACAATTAATCAGGACGGTTTAGCGCCGAGGTACGGAACAGTCTCTTTCCTCCAGCATAGTAGAAGCGACTGTCAACCGAGCGCCAATAAAAATCGGAAGTGCGGGAGAAGGGGCGTTCTTGGGACGAGGATTTGCTTAAGAGGGAGGCTTAAGATTGCCTGTCAATTGCACCCTCTGGGTCTGGGTAAATCGGCAGAGCTGAGCATCGCGGAGGTTATCAGCCCTTGGGTGCTTTGCATCCCGGAAGAGGCCCCGCGGTTTTTGCAGCCAGGTTCCAGCCAGTTTGGAAGTTGGCTGCAAAACCGACGGGTTAGATCTGCCGTTCTCCGAATCCCGCAAAGTAGGCAAGGAACTCCGAACTTCCTTGCCTCTCCTCAGGCTTCACTAATTCGGCCGCGAGGTTTTTCTTGATGGCCTCGAGGTGGCCTGTCCGCCTGGTCATCCGCCACCGGGAGGCAGGGCTGCTCGACGAAAGGGCGACATTGCACTGGGGAAAGGCGAAAAGCCCGGCCTGCTCAGCTACCGCTGGGCCGTCTGGCCGTGGGCGTCCATTTTGTTTTGGTCAGGCCCACTTCCGCTGATCTACAGCAGTGGCGATGATTGAATGTTATAAAACCTGGGCCGTGGCGTCCTAGGAAAGCGCCTTTGTTTTCTTCTGTAAAATGTGGCTTATCAGAAGAAATAAATACTGTTAATCTGCCTGTGAACCACCCAGAGCCACCTTATAGGCGAGATGGGCAGCATAAACATTTAATAAGTGAATAACTTCTCTCCCTTAACTAGGAATGCCCTATTTATTAAATGTTTATGCTGCCCATCTCTCCTATAAGATGATTCTGGGCGGTTTACAGGCAGATTAACAGTATTTTATTCTGATAAGCCACACTTATGGCCGATGACAACTCGCCATGGACAACTTGCCACAGGACAACTTGCCATGACCAATTCACCATCAGAGAGGAGTTAGACTAATATTGAAGAAATAGTGGACTAGAATCATTAAAGAAAAGATGCCAAAGGAGGGACAAAATGAAATGTGAATGACAAAAATTAAAATATTTTTTTAAAAAATATTTTAAATAATTAAATAGAATTGTTGAATTGTCCTGCAATGAGTTCTCCCATGGCAAGTTGGCTGTGGCGAGTTGACTCCAGCGAGTTGTCCCATTCCATTCTGGGAGGTACAGGGAAACAAGTACCTTCTTGCCACAAACTGAGTACAAAATAGAGCTAGGGCATGTCTGAAGTTGAAATGCTATTCGACTTTCAAAAAAAATTATCTTACCCAGGATAAATACTCTTTGTTTCCCCATCCTGTTTTTTTTTTTTACCATCGAATATCAGAGATGGCAAACCAGAAGCCTTTCTAATGTAGTGTATTACAAGTGCTTGCATCCCTCATTTTTTGTAATGCTGGCTTGTTCAGTAATGTTTGAAAGGCTACCCAGTACTTTTCTGCATGACTCCACAACAAAAATACATGCCAACTCTGGGAAGCTTCACAAAGCAGGGTTTTAAAGGCAGAGGCCTAGCAGAGGTAGT